CTTACCAGCATTTGTTGTTTTTTGTAAGTTATCTATACAGCTAATAATATCATTTGAGAATATTCACACTGCTTTTTTATTTTTTCTAATACTGACAGCTCTCACCTTCTTGTCTTATGTACAGTAATGAAGCATCTAAAGTTTCTCCAAAGTATGTAAGGCTTGCTCTATGTAATGCTAATAAAGTGAGGGAAGTTGTTCGTCACTAATTTTGTAATGTTTAAAAAACAGAAACTATTGGAATGCATCAAAGCTTCCTAAGCACCATCACCCTGACACCTGCTTCTTTACTCAGGACAAGAGGTCAGGCCAGCGGAGGAAACTTGTGTAGAGCCAGAGACCTGAGTATCAGACCAGAGTATCGCAAGGAAGAACATATTTCTAGCTCTTGTATTTCAGAATTTTAAACTTTTTTCCTCTTTAAAAGCATATTAGTGACTTTACAGTGTAATTTGGAGCATTTTAGGAAATGTGTCTGAAGCTTCTACTTTTGTCATATTGAAAAAAGTACAAATAAAGGCCATAATTGTTACTATTAAAATAGTTTTTTCAAATTAAGAATTTTATGTGTTCTATAACACATAGTTTTAAAGATCTGTGTAGGTAGAGAAAAAGAACTAGACTTTCAGGAGGCTTTAACTTGAAAAGTAATTTTTGTCTAATTTTGACAATTCAATTCAAGAAAAAAATATATCCATGAAGATCATTTCTTATACTAAGTTTTCAAAGTCAATTAAAAATATTCAAGAGATCTTGGCAGCTCAGTAAGTCAGATTTAGGAAGACAGGATTTTAAAAATAGACATTTTAATGGTTGAAATGATAAATATTCTAAAATATATCTATTTCTCAAAAATTTTCAAGTGGAGAGTTCTAAGAATTTCCTAGATTTTCATAAACTTCATGCCTTAGCTTGGTGTATATAAAAAGAAAGCTATAATGCCAGAAGCAAGAAAGGTCACAGACAAGTTCATGCTATGATTTCAGGCACAATAGAACTGCACAGCCTGCCATTTGTAGGCTGCTTTGCAGTTTTCTGGTTTGCCTGTGAACCTGTGACAGGAAAACCTTTTACTTCCATCTGTGCTCATGAAATATTTATTCAACTGTCCCTTCTCCACAGGAGGAGTTTCTGTGTATGGATGTAGTGTGCTTCTCTAAAAATTACCTTCTTAAATACCTCAGGAAATACTTCCTAGTTAAGAAAGACAGCTTGACCATCATAAAGCATGTCTTCTTATAATCAATGGCATTTGTGTTTGACAGAATGGTGAGAAACTAAAGAAAGTGGTAAGCCCACAAAGTTTAGGCTAATTCTAAACTTAGAATTAGTCTGGCCATTTTCTTTTGCCCTCAAACCTTCTGTTTGGGGGCAAGGACATGGCAATTGGGAGTGGGGAGAGTTTGGAGAGTTTAGAAATTAGAAAAAAGATTTTAAAAATAAACAGAATGTAGAAAATAGAGATAGAAGACCACCTCCCTTTTAGGGTTAAGATCAGAATTAAATCACAATTGAAGCAAAAAGACCTTGGATCCTTCTCAAGCATGGAATGCCAGGAGATAGTATTTCTTTAGATCTCTAGGAAATATGTCAGGTGTGTATACATTCAGAATGCATCCCAATGCCATTCCTTCCTTCCCCAATCCAACCCTGGGAGCCATACTTCTAGCTCACATCACACTGGCCCTTGAATTTCTACTTTCTCCTCCTACCACTACCAAGCTAATGGGCAGTAGAGAGGAGAAATGCAGGCAGCAGGATAGTGTATAAAGGCCATTGCTCCGGCCATCTCAACACCAGGATCCGATAGGGCTCAGCCCTGAGCGCATGTTAGAATGAAGCTTAAGATACCTTACTTATCTGAGCCTCATTTTTTTTTATTGATTAAGTGAAAACTATATGGAGTCTATAGGTGTCTACACCATACCATCTTCAGTTCAGAGGTTTGATGACTCTGTCCGACTCCTCACTCCCTGGGTAAGTCTGATTGTGCTTAAAGTTTTGCTGTGGATCTTTCATCTAAGAAATTTCTCTCCACACACTCTGTCAGGCTTGGAAGTCACCAGTGGCTTCCTGCTGAACCTGTCATTCCTTCATGGACCCAAGTTGGCAGCAGAGAAGTCCTGAGTGAAGGAAGATATGCTTTAAAGTAGAAATCACTGGGTTAAAGTCTAAAAAATTCCCTATAAATTCTCAGAGGTAGAGGAAGGCACATTATCAGCCTTTAACCCTTATATTTTCTTTCTTAACTGGGTGATTTAGGGAACATACTCAATTTCTTTGAATGTTAATATTTTCATCTGTAAAATGGAATAACCACTCTCCTCATCTTCAAAAATACATTGTGAGGTATAATTAATGCTTGTAGTCTTCGAGATTTTTTTTTCCACTGATCAAGCAATGTTTTTATTTTTCACTTATATCTTCACATATAAACAACATGGCAGCATACAACTGTTATGTGGCAGAAAATCAGTAAGCCATAAATTAGCTTAAAGAATAATGTACGTATCTTTACATCTGTAGAAATACCTACATTTCTAACACTTGCCCATCTATACTTATCACTTTTTTTCTAGATACTTTTCTTAATGAGCTGTATTCAGACCAGAAATGTAAAACAACTGCAGAAATGGAAAATGTTACATACATTTATCACAGTAAAGAGGCAGTGGGGTGTCAGTATGCATTTGAGGGAGATTAGGTCTGATTCTGGCTCTGCTTCTTAGTTATGTGACCTAGTCATGTCACAACCTCTTTGAGCCTCAGTTTCCTGAGGCTGAATGTGTGTGTGAGGGAGGACACTAGCTAGAGTATCTCT